CTTGGTTGTTTCCAAGATTTGGCTATCACAAATTGTGCTGCTATAAACATAGGCACACATATATCCCTATGATATAATATTTTCAGATCCTCCGGTAAAAATTTTTTTTTCTTTTTTTCTTTTTTTTTTTTTTGTGGAACTGGGGATTGAACTCAGGCCCTTGTGCTTGCCAGGCAAGCGCTTATTCTACTGAGCCATCTCCTTGGCCCCTGTCTTTGTAATTTTATAAAAATAATCAAGAATATTTTCCTATTGTAGACCTAGACAATGATTTCACTTTCCAAGTACTTACTATAAGAGTATTCTAATAAATAGGGCATAAATTCTGTAATATTCTAAAAACTGCTCAATTTTTTAATTAAGTATTTTAATAAATCATCTACGAAGTGGATTTTTTTTTTTTTTGCGGAACCAGGGATTGAACTCAGGCCCTACACACTTGCCAGGGAAGTGCTTATTCTACTGAGCCATCTCCCCGGCCCCAAAGTGGATCTATTTGAAAGCTGGTTAAAAATACTTCTTTATCATTGACCCTAAGAAGTAAAGACCAATTAAACTAATTATAACTAAGGCACTAAGCACAACTCTGGTCAAAGTCACCTAAAATTATACAATGAGATGCTCACAAAAACCATCAGTATCAATTTTCCTTTAAATTGATTTGGACCACATCAGCACAGTAAAAATTATTTTCACATGTGAGGTAGCTGAAATTAAGGACTAATTCTTCTTTGTACTCTCAGAGGTTAATACACAAAAGCCAGTCAAGAAAAGCTGAATGAAAAATTATGCTTAATTTTTCCTTTCAATGATTTAAGCTAATGTAAGTCTTAAAAACTCAAAGGAAAAGTATTTCTTTTTGGCGGGGGCTGGCTAGGCCTGCCTTAAGTGTGGGTCTGGGTAGGCTTGTGGTCTTGGGGATCAAACCACAGTGCCCTGAGCCTGACTGAGTTTGCCCAAGGAGGCGCTTTAGACAACTGGGCTATCCCACCAGCCCCCAAGAAAAAGTATTTCAAACATTTCAATATATTCTAAGGCAGTTCTAGCAAACAAATATACATCATTTTATATTTTTCAATAACCAAATTAAACTTAAAAACTTATTTAATGATATGTTAAAATTTAACTAATTATAATAGCTTATTTCATTTAGTCTATTATTTCACATGTAATCAGTAAGAAAACTGGGTGTATTTCCTGTTCCATTTAAAAAATCTCATCTGCATTCTATGTTTGCAGCCCCTCTTAATTCACACTAACTCACTTCAACTACTTACTAGGCATATTATAAATTACTGTAACTATGATGTGATTTTAGTTGATTTATTAAAAAAACAAAACTTATTCCACGCCATTTAATTACCCGTGTGGGTAGTCCTGGGCACGTGGCCTTACTGCTGTGGTGCATCTTTCCATAGTGACAGATCATCTGCTTACCCTCTAAGAAGAGCCACAACAGTCTAGCGATATATGCTCTCTGCACTTTCTACACAGATAATGCCTAAGTTTTTTGGCTTCCAGTGAAAAGATAACACATGAAAAAGGCTGAAGGACAAGTCAAAATTTTACCTGGTGATCAGCTTTTTATTGAACCGCCGCTCATAAGCTGCACTGATAGCCAGTGAGGCCACAAAGGAACAGTCTGATACTATTGTCTGCCAATGAGAATGAAGCAAATATTAACGCAGCCCTTCATTCACACAATTTCAACGTTAGCCTGCATGTACACACTGCGCCTGACTTTTACGCTAAATATCTTGACTGTTGTTTAAATAAGAATAATAAGAGAAATGCCCACGCTGCTGATCTGCATATTTTATTTAGATCCTAGAAAAATCAAGAAGTATTTCAGTGATGTAAATTTAAAGTTGGACATTTATGTAACTAAATCTTTTATATCTATTCCCTTTATCAAAAATGAAATTCAGATTTTCAAGTTTTTTATCTGGAAACACAAAAGTCTGTGACTGTTCAAAATAGTTACACACAAATATTTCTATTAATAACATTAAATACGTACATAGAACTATGCCTCAGAATATTTATGCTTTTAAATATAAAATTAATGGATTACAATTACCAAGTAGAGAGAATAAGAGCAGACAATCACAACCAGAAATGTCAGTGAGTTGAAATACATGAACAAAAAGTATTCTGATTCAATTAAGAAGAAAGGTCTGTACTAATATTGTTTGGACAAGACATCCTGTCCTCTGAATAACTACTACGAAGACAATATGCAATGTATTAATTATTGTAACTGTCCTATTCACCTGTTTTAAAACTGTTTCATTGCTATTTTATCTTTTTTCTCATTAAAATGAATAATTTCTTTTTTTGTGGACTGGGGAACTCAGGCCCTTGCACTTGGCAGGCAAGCACTTACTCTATTGAGCCATCTCCCTGGCCCCATAAAACAATTTTTAAAAAAAAATTCTGATTTGGAAAATATCCTGAATGAACGGGAAAATGTGGTATGCTTCTTTAACTTTTTCTGCCTGCGGCTGATCTCTGCACACTATGAGACAGCGCTGGAACTGCTCGGTGGAGTGGTGATGAGCACGCAGCTAGCGCTGCCTGCCCCCAGCTGGAGCGGAGTGCAGCCCTTCCCACGCACCAGCCCCTGGTCTGTGTGGCACCCTCAGTGTGAGCACCCCCGTGCTACTCAGCATTATGCTGATGAGAGCCAAGTTAAGGCAGCTTTGATTCTTTTCTTTTTCTTTGTCTTTTTTTTTTCAGACTTAGTTTTCTTTCAGAGACTGATCTGATTAAAAAAGAGATTCACTATCACTTCACTAGCTGCATAAAGAAATCTCAACCTTCATTTGCTTTTAACAGACAAGAGTGCCCCTGACTGTGACTGGTCTGAGAGCTCATTCCACTGGTGGTCAGTGAGAAGTATGACCATAGTCACTGTGCAGGATGTGCCTGTGGGGCCCACTCTCCTTCCTAATGGTGAGGCGTATCCTGTGGCCTTACTTGTCCCTTCCTAGAAACAAGGTACAAATATGCTGGTTCATGTGACTTCGTTTGAAGTTTTCGTTTCATTTGTGGTGCTGGGCATTGTACCCAGGGCCTCTTGCACATTCAGCAAGGGCTCTGCCGCTGAGCTGTGACCCCAGCCTTCATGTTGCACTTTTGTTAGAAGTTTTAATCCTACAGATTTGTGAGGATGGTCTTCCTTTCTTTATATTGATTGTATGTGTGAGCAAGTCACGGCCTTATACTGCAGAAAGGCTAAAGCTGTTTTTCCCTTCACATGCATTTCCTAGGGGAAGGCATGTATAAGCACCAAAAGAATCAGCACATGTACTCTAAAACACCTTGCTTGGTGCAACATCAATTACACAAAGGAGGTAATGCCAATCATTAGAAGACAATCACATTCAAAATTGAATTGCACTGCAGTAACGGAGCACCCCTGCCAGCTCCCATGGAAAGCCATGTCAGAACTGCGACAACAAGGAGCCGGGGAGATGGCTCAGTAGAATAAGCTCTTGCCTGGCAAGTGCAAGGGCCTGAGTCCAATTCCCAGTTCCGCCCCCCCCCAAAAAAAAAGAAAG